GTAACAGGTGGCAAGTGCATTAGCCGTCTGCATCCTCCACCGGTGGTAGAACAGGACGCGGTCGCTCGATCCTTCCCGTGAATCTCTCAACTCATCTCTGATTTGGCAGAGATGAGTTAGGAGATTGCCATAATGGTAAGCTACCACCGTCACCTGCTGCGTGGTATTACCATCACGAATACGTGAGCCGCCAACGGCAACTGGTAGATGGCACAGCCATCGTGATTGCGCGAGCCCCTACCAGAAATTCGTTGCGCCGCCCTTGGGGGCAAAAAACGGTGAAAGCTAACGTACGAAATCAGAGGGCAGCACACGGTGCGATCGCGCGACCCTGCACGTGAGCAATCTCCCAACTCATCTCTGGTGTGTACACCTCGTTGCTGAGGATGAAGTAACTTTATTTACAAATGGCGGCCGAACAGTGGATGGAGGTTATTAAGGATGCTAAAAAGACAGTACTCGTTCAAGATGGTACGTTGATCGACTTGGTTTAATTATTTCTTCAGCTTGAAGTGACCTTTGTCTTTGAATTATTCTATTTGTCAAATGACACTTTTTTGGTGATATTTAACTTTGTCACGCGACACGTTAACCTGCAATGCTTGATCGATACCATCGACTGCTGTAAAATAGTTTGCATATAATTAACAGGTAAAAAGAAAGTCCATTATTTATTGGAGGATGGGAGGGAAATGGTTGAAGAATATCTTTTAGACACAATGGTATTGACAAAAAGAGCATGGAAGGAGAAGGGAAAGCTGGGACAAGATATAGGATGGTCGGTCGAAGTTGGAGATCCTGAATTGAAACAGCCGGACAATCTGGAAATTAGTGGGATCAGGGAAAGCTCAAACGCGGTAAGAATTACGATCGCATCTGAACGTTTCAAGCTCGAGATAAACCCTGAGACTAAAGTATGAATTTTATCCAGCCCTTTATTACTAGAAGAAACACAAAGACTGCCTTAGAATGGAGAATTAGAAATCTACCATATCCGGAAAATGTGTACTCGGTAACGACTGAAGACGACGGTGCAATAGTTGTGCGGACTAGTAACAAGAAATATTTCAAAAGGATAAGAGTACCGGATTTGGAACGTGTTGGTTTAAAGCCAGATCAAGGACGCCTTTCTTTCACGCATAAATACAATACGCTTGTTATAACGGTATGTCTATCTGCTTACAAAACAATAACGAAAACCAAGCAATCGATACCACTAACGAAATGCTTAAATTATTCCAGTACAAAAAGCCACCCGTACTTCTAGATTTTGAAAAAAAGGTTCTCGACGAATTATCAAAATTGAAGCCTATGAAAGAAGGAGACGTTCAGTGCCCTACAAATTAATAAAACCATTTCGTCAACCTTTTAACCTGACATTCTTAATTTTTGACTCTACAGTTCGTGTTTATTATCATGCTTGGCATTAATCAGTCTAAAGAATACGACTCGTACAATTCAACTTCCTATTTATTTGATCTCATTCGTTACTGACATTCGGACATTGAAATAAAAACAACTACATCGTCGAGTCAATTGTACAACATTCGAGAAGTCTACTTCCATCGAGGAATAAAATTTCAAATCGGAGAATCTAACCGGTCGATTCCAGAAGATCCAGCCAACGGTGGCCATTCCCTAACCTTATTCCAGGGATCGAGTCGAGCACATTCCATTTATTTATAGTTTTCCTACAGGCGTATACAAATTTATGTGAAACCTTTGTGCCTGATAACCTCAAACTATTTTCAATCTGCCACGTACCTTTTCATTCTGGAGCCGAGACATTTCAGATGTTTGAAATATATATTCGTGACCTATTGGGGATTGTTTTCCGTTCTTGACTTCTCGCGCTATTTAGGCAGAAGCCGCTTCGATTATTTTTCCGCGGCATTTCTGAAGCTCGGAGAGAGGTTTTAAGAGAGGTTAGAAGCCGCAGGTGGCTCGCTTAGCGTTCGGCTTGATGCGCGCGAAAATCGAGAGATCGATCGATCGTTCCGCGTTACAGGTCGCAGCCCGGCGGAAGGAAGGCAGGGAGCGCGTCCCGCGCGTCACGACTTAGTGTGGGTGTCGTCCATGTGAACGCGCGTCTATAACCCGCGTGTAGTGTGTGCCGGACTGTTGGTGGTAGTGTTGCGACTCGGTGTTATGCTTTCGGCTTCGAGCGGGATCTGAATGTGAAACGGGAGAAATGGCGAAATCCGTGCCGGACAGGTGAGTGGTAAGAAGGTGCGATGCGCGCCGAGAGGCCGCCACGACGCCCGGGCCGCTCGCCGCTTGTTTACAGCGAGAAAATGGAGGTCACATTGCGTGGAGGTTATGTCGCCCCTAGTGTCCGACCGCGTCCGAATTCTAGCCTCCGGCTTTCACAACTCGTCGAGGGTTTGGGAACGGACGGCTTGTCATGATTCGTCGGCCGAGTGTCAAGGAATTGTGTTTTTAAGTGCATTTATCGGATATCCTCGCATTCATGTAATCGGCGTATGCCGCCATGAGGCCCGCTCCTCGCTTGGCGTTTTTTCCGTCGCGCGCAGTGTGGATCGTCGACCGGGTTCGCCGCGTGTCGCACAGATGGCGCCTCGGGAAACTTCGCGTCGAGATTGAACAGTGGAAATTGAGGGTTTACAGTGGATAACTCGCATTTAGAATTACAGTGCGCCGGAAGAGTCCTTGTTATTACATTTAATTGTGATTGGGGTTTCGAATTATATATCTTGCGAGGGAGGCGTAGTCGATTCGAGTTCACGGCTCCTCCTACCGATGGCGCCACGGCGGCGTTTGCGTCGCGTCTTGGTGTTTTCATAAATTTCTATTCTTTTTCCGTAATAGTATCCCAGTAGTTCGGTAATTAAGCATATTTTGGGAGTAGTTGCGTGTTTTGGTGAGTCTATTGTAGTTGGATGAGGTTATTTGAGCGATAAGGTCACTCAATGTTGTTCATTATCCGGTGTGGTATTAACCTCAAATCTTGTTGCAGGTGGTTGGAGTACAAAGCGTTTGGCAAGGTGATCAAAGGCACGAAGATAGTGGCGTTCAAAGTACCCCTGAAGGAGGTTAGTGTCGACTATAAATAAATAAATAATGCCATTACGATGCCAAAAATATGCCAGCCAGTCGGAAGGGAACGCTCTTGCTCGTCGATTCACCGGTCCGAGGCGGCTTCTTTCACTCGGGGCCCCCGCGGTGAGGCGCGCCAGCCCACGATTTGACCAATCGTAAACTGAAAACTGCATTAACGTTGTCACGTGCATGAAAATTTACACGGTCCCTATTAGAGAGACCGTCTCCTCTCTTTCCGCCTCTTTCTTAAAGGCATTCATCTTTAGGCCGAGGTGAGACGAATTTTGACACCATCCTAGCATGCAGATCTTTCCCTCCTGCGACGAACCTGACTTCTCGACTCGTCCTTACCAGGGGAAGGGCTCGGGGCTCTCGGAGGTCCCAGGATTTCCGATGTGGCACCGAAAATGCAATAACGGCCTCGATACGAGCGCACTGCGTTACGCCTGGCGAAGGTAGTCAAGAGGAGCTAGAGTGATTTATGCGAACATAAATCAGCAGTTTGGCGGCAGTGCTGACAGCACGTACCGTGGCCGTCTCGCCGATTCCCGACTAACTACTTCGCCACCAGGTTCTCCGGCCATCTCTCCTCTATGTCTTATCGTTTCGAGAGAACCGACAGGGAGAATGAGGAATAAGAAAAATTAAAGGGTACTCCCACTCCGAGGGGGCTCCATGGGAAAGAGGCTGGCCCGTGCCTGCGATGGCCCGAGGCGTTTTTAACCTCTTTGGGCGAAAACTAATGCTCGGAACACTGTAAGCGGTATCGTGTAAATTAGGCAAATATTTCAACATTTGTTGGGACAACGTCCTAGGGACCCCACGCACGCGGGGAACCAAATGTAAACGAGGCGATTCAAGTGCTTTCCGAGCGCCGAGCTTTTATATACGGGGTGGCGGGATTTATCGGGATTTCGCGTGCACGGGTCTCGAGGGGGGAACCCGGGAGAGGTGCCGAGTCCCGTGGGAGAACCTGGGTAAAGGACGCCGCGAGCGGGAGGGTGCATTAGCATAGACACAATGCGACTCGCGTGCATATTTTCGCGCGATTCGCAGACACCCATATTCCCCTCTCGGTACATTCGAAGCGCGGCATCGATAACGTCGATGTGAATATTAAGGCGCCGAGAAATTATTAATCGACGCCGATAAAAATGATATTCATCTACCCTCCTCTCGGGATGTGACGTCGTCTTGGATCTTCAAGGGATAACGTAAACTGGCCGTGTTACCGCAATATATACGTACGTCGATGTCATTTCCCCTCTATATCGAGAATTATACGAAACTAGGTATTCCATTTGTCATTTCGGTGTAATGATTATGTAGAGATCGAGAATATTTTCATATTTAATGTTTTGCTTTCGCTCGTGACGCCGCTACAAATTCATTTGCTATTTTTCTTTTCTTTTGCGTGTATATATATGTGCCCATAATTATGAAAGTGGCCTGAGTCATATATTTTTTGTTTCGAAATTACATTGAGTTAATTTCGTTTGAAATAATATGGCGTAGAATAACTGATAAACTCATTTTTTTTTTTAATTTTGACTTAGACCACTTTCATAATTATGGGCACATATATGAGCCGCTCAGTGCACACATTGATTAACCCCATAAAACAAAAAGTTGAGAAATGCGATGAAGTAATGTAGATTCTTTTTTAAAATTCCTATTATAATATAACCTCAAATATATAATGTAGAATACATAAATACAGTTATAGTTTTCATCTAACGGTATATAAAATTAATAAGAAAGAATAGCCAAAAAATAATCGTCTGCATTTTATATCGACAAATGTTTTTGCAGGTGTTAAATTTCCTCCCCTATTCCTGTATGCCAAACCTTTTGTTCCGTTATGCTTTTGTAAATTTCGTGCCCATTTATCAGGATTACGACTTCTTTTCCTCCCAATCGATGGGTTTCTTAGGGAATTTGTACCGTTGCAATCGGATGAATCCGAGAAACACGATAAACGTCTTCTAGCCCCAGACTTTCTGCTGATAAATCGTATCGAAGAATCATCCCTGCTTTCCACATCCACATTGTTATTAGTTTCACTCATCTCGATTATAACGGTATAATATTTAGTTCTTTAAAAACAATCAGGGAGTAATGTTGAAAAGACGAAAAAATATGTATTCCGTGTAATATTGGTGAAGTATACGGTAACATTCAGCGTGAGAGATCACCGTTATACCAAATACCGTCTGCATTGCGCTTCTTTCTATCCGTTTGCTGATGCGATTTTATTCCTCATATTGTTGAAAGGGGGAAAGCATCTTCGGCTGTTTAAAAAAAAAAAAAAAGCGTCGATGTACGGCCGCAACAGATAATCCAAAAATACTATACTGCCAGGTATTCGTCTACGATTTACATTAGAGTATGGAGTCAATCAAAATGGCTTCTGAAATAAATTACTTATTATTCAATGCCCAAAAAAATGTTGCCGTTCAATGGTGTTAATCTCTATTAATCAGGAAAGATATTATAAATATAAAAAGTTATGACTATACCAAGTGCTTTGACCCCTAAATTTAAGATTTTTCAAAAAGTGGAGTTAGTCGATGTGTGCACTGAGCGGCTCATATATTAATTATACCCCGTTAATTATACCTTTGTAAATGACTAGAGTATACTTTAGTAAGTATTCCCGGCGTTGTTGGGATTATTCCTCGCATTAAGAGGGAAACGTTATCCGCGCGATGGGGTCCTTTGCCGAAAGTGGAAATATCTTTTTCTCCTTTATCGCGGGTGGTGGATGGCCCTCCTGCACGCGTGCGTATATTTTTAGAGGCGCACGCGCGTCCGTATAGGGCCCTATGCCGGGGCCTTACACCAGGCCCCTCCTTGGAACCGTAAAAGCGGCTCTCCACGGAGAAACGAGCTTGTAGTCCCGGACGGGAGATCTGGTATCGGCGAGAGCAACCGGCCAAATTGCTGTATTGTTGCGGGAGGTGCTCCCTCCGCCTTTAAGGCGGATATAAACAAGCTTGATATATGCGCGCTCCTCCGCCGACAATGACCGGCGTGCAGCCCCGGATGGCACCGGGGCCCGATTGGGCCCCGCTCCGCGGAACGGGCCCCGCGCACCCACTGATCTATGGATCTACGGATCTACGTGGATACCGCGGGGCCCATGCTGCGAGGCCCCCGGGCCTTTATTGAAAACGAAGAAACGGGGCCCAAGACTCGATGGAGGAAGTCGGGCCCCCGACGCTTCGGGGATACCGCGATCATAATGGGCCCGTAACTCGAGACGGTCGGTTTCTTTGTTAGCGCCGTGACGCAACCGGGAACGATTTTAATAAATAAGGCCCCGGCAGCGCGGGGAGGAAAGGGCCCCGGGTCGAAGGACCGAAATTCCGGTTGGTTTTAACTGGACCGGATCGTGACTCGAGCTCGAGGAGGTGTTTCTCTTAATCGTTATCGCCGCGTGAAAATGGGACCCACCGGGCCCAAGGCCCGGGGTCACTCTTAGCCAGAAGTGTATTTAGGATGCGATGGGCACATTCGCTGGCGAAGAGGGTACCGCGAGTCGAATTTAGGAGGGAAAGAAACTCGAGTTCGTTCGGCCGGCTTTGAATATGTTGATGTCGGGGCCTCTGCGGGGCCCTAATTGATGGGACCGCGGCGTCGAGTTTCGCGGGGCATAAACCATTTTTCTCTCTCTTTTCTTTTCTTTTTTTCTTTTCTTCTTCTCTCCCCGGTTTGCTCGTTTTTCCTCCTCCTCCCTACCTTCTTGCCTTCGCGCCGCGGATGGCGCTCGCCTCGTTAAAATTCCCATTCATGCCTACTAATTGTGAGCGCGAAAAGACGACTTGTCCGTCCGCGTTGGCCTTCCTCTCACATCGGTAAATTGCATTCCTTTCTTTTCTTCGGGCCCGAGGTCTCCTGCCGGGCCTCATCCCCTCTTTCTCTTCCTCCTCTCTCTCTCTCTCTCTCTCTCTCTCTCTCTCTCCGTCTATTCCGAAGTCATTGGCTAGGTCTAAAACCGTCTCGATAGGAGAGAAATGGAAATTAATTCCACCTTGAGATGCACTTCCTTCGATCCAGGATCAAAGATCGATCGTTTGCTCTTCCTCTTTTTTTTCTTTATTTTTATTCCTTTTTACGAGCAGTCGACGTCGCGACTCACTTTTGGGACCGTGTCTTAAGTTTCGATGCGATTTACAAGGTTTTCAGCGAAACTCTTCTCCGGGGGGAATTTCTGCGGTTGATTCCAAGATCGAAGCCGGTGCACGGGGCCCCGAGGTCGGGCCCGAAACTGGTACCGGGGCCCAGCATGCCCCGGGTCGGGCCCGCCGCCGCAGCGACGGGGGTCCCACGTTAATAAGGCCCTGAAAGGTCCTCGTGCCACCGGCCATTCTTGCCTCTGGGAAACCGAGGCGATACCTTTCTTCCACTAATATTCCACTAAATGGCCCCGAAAAGGGGCCCAATTTGTACGGAAGTCGGGCACTTTGGGACCGACTTTTCTCCCTGGGAGAATTAAGAAGTCGAGAGATTCCGTGGAAGGATTCCTCCTCGATCGCGGGTCCGTTCGGCCGGTTCGATGGCGAGGATCGGGCCCCGACTCTCTAATCCGGCGATTTGTCAGTTTCCTAACGAGGATTATGATAATAATCAATTCGATCCACGCCGACCATTCGTCTTCGGCGTTTCGTGAACCGTAGGGGTTTCTGGGGAAGAATAAGAAGAAAAAAAAAGGGAAAACGGAGAGATGTCGTTTACATCTCGTCACGGTCCTCGTATCGAATTGGGCCCGGACGCGTTAGTTTCCTTTCCGTGGGGACCTTTCTGGGACTATTGGCGGGACACTTCCAGGACGCTAACGCCGATTTCGCGTTTTCCCACGAGGATGCGCATGCCCGTCGATGTGGGACTCTTTGGGCCCGGAGGGGAGGGGCGGTCCCCGAGAGGGCCCGACATGCCTCGCGTGCCGTGGGCCTCTTCGGGCTCGTAACTCGCCGTTTAATTAATAACGAGA